GACCACTTCAGTTACAGTTAGAGTACAGTAACACACGAGTGTGTTGTAGAATTAACACACAAGTCATAAGCAGAGACAAGTGACAGAGTAACTTTTTGGACAGATAGATAAGGACCCAAAACCGGCCATTGGAAAAAAGGCCCGTTAAAAGGGCCCAAAATATATGAGGCAATACTGTAGAGTGTAGGGTAAAGAAAAGATGACAAAAGGAGCAAAATTGATAAGCGATTCCAGTTTTTGCCAGCCTTAATAGCTTTTGGTGCGGCACGGCTCGCCGAAAGTCCCACCTTAGAGTTAAGACTAACTGATCTCCACTCATCTCTTCTTTACTCTATCCAAACAAAGAATCTTCATTATCATCTTCTTCTTTTTTTTCCTCAATTTCTGTCCCACACTCTCAATCTTCCCCTTAAATTCTTTTCATTTTTTGTCTGCTAATTGATCAACAATTTGTGATGTAACTCCGTTGTTCCACGCTGTTTTACAAATTCTTTTACCATATTAAGACATAGCTACTAATTAAAGACTTTATTAAGAAAAAATAAAAAATAAAAACAAGGGTTACCAAGCTTATGAAATGTGATTGTATGAACTATAAAGGAGTGAGATTGTAACCATTATAGTTTAATAGTTTAAAGCTTCATCCTACATCTTTTAGTTTCGGTTTCACTTTCGCTTTTATCTTCCCCTCTTTTAACAAATATTTTTTTGAAAAAAAAAAAATCAAGAAAGAGAGATGTGGTGCAAATGCACTCTCTACTATAAGTGGTGTAATTCAGTAATTTAGGTCACAAACCAATGCCTAAAAAATCCAGAATCTCTTTTGTATTCTTCAATTTATTAGGATGTCCAAAGTAGTTAGAGGGTGTGGCATTACTACTTATTGGTAGTATAGCAGAATGGAATGAAGGTCTGAATAAGAAAACTAAAGTCAGCATTTGGAATCTAGGAATGGGAATTCCCTAATGGCAGTCCTAATACAACACTGTACGGTCATACTAGTCATTGTTGCTACAGGGAAATAATGCCAAGTGGGAGGCCTTCGTGCTAGCAAAGTGCAAACACCACAAATGTCGACTAAGTTGTCTCTTTTTGCCGTTTTTGTTTTAAGTTTGATGTAATCTTTTAAAGAAATGAAGTGTATTTTCAGACGAGTGTTGTGCACTTGAAACTAAACTCTTCTTTTGAGTTTTGATCCAGTAAATTCAAAATGGCTCGCATATTCAGAGGTCACTATCAACGGATTGTCTTTTTATCTAAGAGTCAGAACGGAGTGTTGGGGCAATTTGAGTTTTCTAAATATAGTTAGTGGCAGTGGCAGTGGCAGTGCCCTGGTCACACGGGCAAAAACGAGTACAAAATAGTGGGACAAAAACGTGTGGAATTTTCTCATACTCATTAACAATGAAAGTGGGGTTACTTTAAGGATCGCTAAATACTCTTAGACCATAGAGTTCCGTTCATAAGACTTTATTCAACGATATTATATGAGTTCACATTGAAATAAAACAAAGAATTAGTCGATGTGGCTAACATTGGCGCTCTCTTTTGTATTTCAAAAGTTCTAGTCGACATGCCTTTGATCACACATGACACATTTTTTATGATGTCATAAAGTTGTGTGTACAATTTGGAACATTCAAAGAATTAGTATTATATTTTTATTGCACGTTTCTCCTCCAATATCGCACAATTTTCTATTACTATTGGCAAAAATATAAGAATGTTGTAAATGAGTTTATTACCATGGCAAAAAGGGAATGAACTTAAAAATATTAAGAGAGATGGTCTTGATCTCAAAAGGCCAATTTTTACTAAACACATTCGGAAATCGCCGCAACGGACCCGACCCGTTAAAGGAATTTCCATATATCTAATAAAATGACGTGGAAAAAAAAACAGTAAAAATGGCATCAATGACAAACCCTGCCGAATTCTAGAAAATGAAGACTTGAAAATTGAAATGCTGGTCACTGACTTAAGATTTAATTATATCATGAGACAGTCCAATTCAAATTCTATGATCTAAGTCAAATAAGAGTATATGTCAATTATAATACGCAGAGGCAACAACCCACAAAGACACTAACTAAACATGCATTGTTTTTGGCTAAAAAACAAAAGAGGTGAACCCAATCATGCATAAAAATTCCGTTTCTTAATTCAACATTCTAGATTTAGGTGTGAAGCTACTAAATGACAGTTCCGTGCACATAGTATCTCATATTTACGCAAGGTTCGAAGAAGGCCGCACCCCAAGGGGTATTATGTAGACAGACAACCCTAATGCCAGCATTAGTGACTACTTCCACGACTTAAACTCGTAACATATAGGTCGCATGAAGACAACTTTACCGTTGCTTCAAGGATCCCCTTCAAGTTCTTGCTCTGACTCTATGTTCTTAAAGTTATTAAACCTCCGCCAAATATGAGGATGAAAAAACAACGAGAAACCTTGCTAGCTCATCGATATCTTGCTCAAAGCTAAACGAAGAAAATTTTGAAAAAGGGAAGAGATTTATGCTTTATGTTCTTTTTCAAGATGACCCTTATCTCCAGCTCAATGTGATAACAATGCCACATCAAAAAGACAAACGATAACAGAGAAAGCTGTGAAAGATCGAATCTCTCAATATCTCCTTCTAACCTTATCCCGCCGCTGAAGAAACAGTTCCAAGATTAAATGCTAATAACACGATTTTGATGAATCCATGTACATTGGATATTGTTAGCTAATAATCTTAAACACGCATTCCACACATCTCTGAGAAATGAATATCACGTGCAAAAAGTAGGAAATTAAATACGAATATTGGATTTTCGGTGAGTAATTTGGTAGCTAATAGAGAAACTAACTACTTATTCGGAACAAGGAAAACAATAGCATGTGCGTTGTAAACTTGTGGAAAGGACTAAGTCGTGGACTTATAACAAGGTTTATTCTTGTTTAGATTCAAAGATTTAAACGAACGATGACAGTATTCTTTATCTTAACTTCTACCCACAGTATTTCTCATTAAACATAGGCCAACGGTTTTAAGGATACTTATCAATTAATCAGTTCTCTTCCGATCCGCGAAGTCTGATATACACTAGTTAATTATATATATTACTTGCTTATTCAACCAAGGTATACATCTTGTTCACATACACACAAAACACTTAGGAAACACTAACAGAATCGACTAAGAATACCTTTTTGACTTCGCCCTGTTTAACATAAAAGCCGAAGATTAGGAAAATCTTGTGGATTGTCTTTTCCGCAATAAGAGCCAATCCCCTTTTGTATTCTGCGTAGAACCACACAAATGGGGTCTGAAACCAAAGACTAAGCTGTAGGATTATAAAAACCACTGTCCCCTAAAAGGAATTGGAATTTGCATGGGCGTGCATGGAATTCTACGGTTTTGTCGCTTTTTTGTAACGTTTAACCGCATCCATCGGCTGATTGGGTAGACTTGGAAACATTTTTGGCCTTTGGGTATCCAATTCGTCAAGGCTTTCGGTTGACGCAGAAAATAAAGCTAGACTCTCAATTATGCAGCTGGCATAACTCTTGCCTCTACAATCAACTAACTTCATTTTTTTTATTGAACAAACATAAACTAGTACATTACAGCAAGGAAACTGAACACGGGGGTTACAGTTCCCGTTGAGTCCAAAAATAAATGCGGTAAGATAAAGGGTGGGGGTAGTCAAAAAACATAACATAGAAAGTAAGACTTTGTCAAGCATTATAAGTTTAGTTTAGTGATATTTACCATTTACTTCTAATCGCATGAATTCTTTTTCGTCTCTCCTGCCAATGTTAGCGTCTTAATTTGATTCTTGAAATAGCAGCTTTGAACATAGACATTTCGACTCAAAGCTCAAAATTTGACCAAAATATCTTGATATCATTAGCTTAGCTAAAGAATAGGAGTACCGATTACTTTCTGAGAGCCGCGACATTCCCCGTATTTTAAGACTAATTAAGAGATGCCAATAACAGGCCAAGTGGTACTGCATCCGCATATGATTGCACGATTAATATACGTTTAGCGAAGAAGACCTTTCTCCTATTGTGGAATGCAGCTATATGTGAATGGTCTGAAGCCTTTTAAGTCTCTACATCAGTTTGCATGTCATAATTAAGACTCAATTTTTTTTAATTGTTACTTCTTGTGGTAAACATTAGAAAGTGGTCCTGCAAAAGGGATTGTGATGGTTAACATCGAGCAAAGTACATGCCCATCCTTGTGTATGGACAGAAAACAGTAGCGTAGAAAATTACGTGAGGTTGACACCTTGGAGATGGGGCTATCCTCTTCGTTTTACTCCTCTCTCTTAAGGATCAGTTTCTCTTTGGTTGCTCCAGATATTCCAACAAAGACAATCCATCTCTACTTTAAAATTAGCAAAAGGAAACTATAATGTTTAACTTTTCAGTTTCACCGATACTGAATAATGAAAGTTGAGGTCGCTAAGATTAGCTCGTAAGAACAGATTTGCTCCCCAATAAAAAAAAAACCACAGTACAGCTTATTTGGCTGAATTAACTATTTAAGCACCTGTGTCCCCCTAAAATTACAAGGATACAGCTATACCACAGAGGGTTCACAGAATAATAACTCGGCTCTTTCACAACACATCATTGTATAAAAAACTCTATCTTTCTGCAAATTGAGTCTCCTTTTCTTTTTCTTTTTTTTTCAAATAAAGTAGGCTCCTCTATATGTGACTGATGCCGGCTGGAACGAGTAAAGATATCTACGTACAATACCCACAAACAGCAATTGTTATGCTTCAATCTCGGACAACTATATGAATTCTCTGTAACCATTCTGCTCTTTCAAAACACATTATTCTAACTCATTATTTTTATTTTGGTAATAAAAACTAAGAATTCTCCACAAAAACAAAAATGTCAACAATTAGTTGATTATTAACAATAATTTGTTATGCAAGATAACTTCGCAAATTGATCATCATATTTGGGAGGGGAATTAACATGATTGGGGTGAAATAACCAAACAAAGAATGACCTCTTACTGGTTCATTATCAAATAGAAACGGAGTATGATGTTAACAGTCAAAATACATGGAAGCAGTTCTAAATCACTTCCACGAACAAAGCCATTTTCCGAAGGTACATTACAGTGGTTACCAAAGCCACATCCAACTTTGATGCTCCAGCAACTTCAAGGTCTAATTCTACAAGCACCATTTTCAACATAACCGTTACTCCAAGGATCAAAACAGCTTCAAGCAAATTAGGAGCGTGATCTTTCCCGCAATGGAGGTGAACGACTGCATCACCAACACAATGATTTAAGTACAATAACTATTAGGATGATATCGTAATTCAAGAGCAGGTAATGAAGCAGAGACATGCAAGAAGAGTTTTAAAAAAAGTAAACTTGTAAGGTGCAAACCTCCTGTATCGCTCTGAACTTTCCCTCCCATCACGTACAGGACTTTCTACAGGTCCCGGTTTAGAACTTGGGCTGCTGCCAGGATTATAACCATCCGGGCTATATTTCTTTCTCCTCTCACGTTGAGGACTAGGACTGGGTCTATCACCATAACCAGGACTTCTGCTTTCCATAGGACTGCTCACGAGGCCATTTCCTGGACCAGCTCTTTCTCTACGAGGGCTAGGGGTGCGACCATTCCCATGACCAGGATTTCTCTCCTTTCCTACAGCTGGACTATGGCCACGGGCATTCTCAGAATTCCTTTCTCTATGCTTTGGACTTGGACTAGGGCCACGACCATAATCAGGATTTAGCCGATCTCTGCCACGACCATAGTCAGGACTTAGCCGATTTCTACCACGACCATAGTCAGGACTTAGCCGATCTCTCCCACGACCATAGTCAGGACTTGGCCGATCTCGACCACGGCCATAGTCAGGACTTGGCCGATCTCTTCCATAAGGGCTACGAGATCGACCTCGGTCATAACCTCTCCTAGGTGATCTATCATGGGTTTTACCTGGACCGGACCCATCTCTCCTATCATCATCATCTTTGATCGCATACTCCACAGTAATAACTCGATCCATCAGCTTACTGCATTTAAACAGATAAGAAGCGGTCAAACCAAGGCATAGGTAGAATTAATGCGGACATTTAAAAACTACATGCCGAAGTCCAACAAAAATTGATGAAACATATACCTCATATTGGTAGCATCCAGGGCTCTAGTGGCATCCTCCTGTGATTCAAATTGAATAAATGCAAAATTCCTTCGGATCCTTATGTTGAGTATTTTTCCATGTGGATCAAAGTGCCTCTCCAGATCCTTCGTCCTAGTATTATATGGATCAAAATTTATGACAAACAAAGTCTTGGAAACTCTGAAACTTGATGAAGATTTTCTAGAAACCTCAGGCTTTCTGCTCCGTTCTTCCTGCAGCAAAGCAATAAAAACACAGCATAAACAGGAAAATCATCGCACAGGCGAGAGGGGGGGGGGGGGGAGATTTNGTCAAGCCCCTGAATAGCGTCCTCTGCATCTCTTTCATCATCCATATAAACAAAAGCAAAACCTGAAGTTCGATCACACATAGACTGAAGATTAAATAAAAAATCAGTTGGCAATAAGAACCCTCCAATGAAAGGTTTCATTACTTTGAAATGCTCAAAAAGATTAGAAAAGATAAGTTTATCTAGCAGATGTGCGAACCGTCTCAACGCATTACAATCACTCTGTCAAATCTAGAAACTTTTCACCATTAAAATCAGCAACAGACCTTCAGTGGTGGACTAAAGATGCCAGGGAAAGGTGGATGTCACATGATGGGATAATGTAAAAAGTGTGCCTTCTCCTTTTCAAACTGCTGCCTTCAAGGTCGGCAATGTGACAAGTCTGAAAATGAAGGCTGGGCAAAATTCATGAGGAATGGAGGGCAATAATGACTGAGGATAATATGTGATTGTGATGCCACGATGGATCGGAGAGCTATTCTTGAAACAAGAGAAACTTGTTGCAGTCAGGAAACGAAATAGACACCGTCCATCAGCAATGATTGTATGGACATTGCAATGTTATCCTGCGCCAAAGAATCAATTGAGTATGGGGGTCTACACTTAAAAAATATACTTTTTTGGTAAACATATCCTAATATCCCGCCAAAACTCAGCAAGACTTCTGTTGTTGACACAAATCAGCTGACTGGGTCTTCCATCCAACGTAGCCACAATATAAAGAAGGAATGAAGCATCCCAGCAGACCAATTTGTGGTCATTTGAGTCTTTGAGCAGTGAAACCACACTACACTTACCATACCCATGAAAATGTATTAACCAAAAGTATCTGGACATGCCAGAGGGCGCTATAACCATGTTCATATTTCACGAGTCAATAGCTTTGCCACCATCAACCTTACTGTTGCTCGCTACAACTTTATCCAGGCACAGACTTCACATAATCTTGTTCAATCTTACTCTAGGTAGTCCGTAATGGCAAGCTGTGCCTTACTCGGAATGCAAACAACCTTGTTTAGCTGCATGTATATAATTGATATACCATTGGCAAAATAACACTATGGCAGACCATTTGATGCCACAGTAGTCATTGCCCACAATAAGACATAAAAGAATAAGGATTATACAGAACTAATCTGGTTATCCAGAACTAGCCCAGTAGAACGAAATCATACCCGAGCACATGCTGCATGACTACTTGATGCATGAACAAGCTTTACTTAGAATTATATTCTAAGATAGACAAGAGGAAATAACAAGACCTCATCGGTAAGGCCTCACATGCAAGTAGTTAACAAGACAACCAATTTATCAAGTATATTTTAATTAAAGAAAAATATCACACATCCAAGGGTTAGTTACAGGTTACCGCCACAAACTAAACTCGCCCACATAAATGTCGTCAGATTCAAGATTCAAAAGAGAAAAATAATACAATAAGGTTAATAAGCTTAGTAGCATGGAAAAGAAAATTGACAAGTGTGTTACAAGTTTACCAGATTTCATATCCACCCTATCAACCTTGCCATATCTTTTGAAAAGCCTTTCCAACTCAGACTGTCTGGTGTCAAACTCAAAGTTACCACAGAAAATTGGTCTCATCCTGCCTGTACAGAAAAAGTCAGGACTGCTAAACCTGAGATGAGAAAAGTAGATGTGCAGGCGAGCAGGTAATTAAGAAAAAACAGTTTAGAACAGTTGAGCATGTAACATTTGCCATGGATTGTGTTCATATTTAGCTTACACCCTTCTACAGGTCATCCTAAAACGAAATATGCATCCTTTAGAGAGTACTAAGTAGATTTTTCCATTCATTACATTATCAGTTAGATCACATCCAATTAAACCTGAAAGCAAATATATATATAACCTGTTACATATTAAATCGTGTGACAATGTGACACAATCACTGGCTTAGATTAAATTCATCTTAGAATGATATCAATTCCAAGTGAAAAAACTATTACTAGACAGTTAACAAGGTTAATAGGCACATCGTATACTCCTAAAGAATTGAAGTTACCTGCCTCAAAGGTTTAATAAATGTTCAAGGAATTAACCTAAGTTTTTTTCTTGAATCTTCACATGATGGTAGTGTTTGGCCACCTTGCGCGCACCTTGACTATTTCACCGGATATCTACACCTTCCCACCAGTGCAAGTATATCGTAACTCCGTCCCACCAAGGCTCAGGCAGGTGAGAATAAATCACCTAGCATTGTTTACTCTTTCTAGGATTTAAACCTCGCTCTTCCACGGATTTTATTCCAACTTCATTAACCAATAGGCCACGCCCTTGTGTGCCATCTTAAATTTGCATTTAATGTTACATATTCATCATCCCATCCCATGAAGAATAAAAATTCCGCTTTTCAAGAGTCACTTACTTAGTTTAGCTAAGATTTTCTTAAAATAATAGGTATAGAAAGTTCAACAAATTGTAGTCACTCTAGTATTAGCCGATGACACTCTGAAAGGATGATACAAAAGGAGTATGAGCCAGAGCTTAGGGGCAGAACTATTAATCAAGTCAATTTATTTGGGATAGGGAAGAAAAAAGCTCATCAAGAGCTTCGGCGAAAGGACACCGTGTATGCCTACAGATGCCATATAACTCCTAAGAGCTAATTTTTGGAACTATATTGTATACACGAATAAGTTCCATCCAATACATACTTTACAGAAAAGTGGAAAACATTTTCAAACTCTTCTTCAAACCTAACTTTCATTAACAATTTACTTAAGTAGAACCAAAAACTTCAATTCACATCCGAATAGGAACAAGACATATAATGTTCACGAAACTAACAAATCAATTTCCCTAGATCCACAAAATAAATGTTGTAACAAATTAACTCTATCCTAAGTGCATAAAAAAATTTCGACAAAATACTGATTTATACTTCTCTGACCATGGATTAAAGAAAATAAGTTCGTAAGACAAGAAATGGTGAATCGAAGCGTCTATTAGTAAGCAGATCTGAAGAATATACGCAAGAAATGTACTAGGATCGAAGACGTAAGTGTGAGTGAAAACGATTTCTTACCGTTCTGTAGTATAGAAAACCCTAACTGCAACAACAAGCGCAATGCAGAGGCCGAGTGAAAATATCTCTTTGATACTATTGTCAGGTTTTTTATAAGTAGCTGCATCCCCCTCCTCTCTGACCAAAATAACCTTTTTCTTCATCTTTTTATTTTTGTGATCCCTATCTTCTTCTTCTTTTTCCTTCTTTTTTTCTAAATATCCACAATAACCATCTTTTTATTTTTATATTCCTTTACTTATTATTGTTGTATACGGTAAAAACTGGTTAGTCCTTCGTACGGACTGGTTGAAATGGTAATGCATTGGATCGAAGATCAGGTTGAGGTCTAAAGTCAAGTAATCAAGCTTCGAGCCCTAGGGACCGATCAATGTCGAGCTCAATATCATTATCGAGCTCGAATCTAAATCGAACTATGGTGAAGTTACCGAGCTTACGAGGCAGAGACCGACCAACACTGTCCCCGAATCAATACAAGGCTCCGAATCAGAATCAAGCTCGAGTCAGGATCGAGAGCTCGAGTCGATATCGAGCTCGAGACAATATCGAGTTCATAGACAAGAGTCGTTGCAACCGCACTAGGAGAGAGAATCTTGGCAGAAATTATGAAAAAGCTGATTTATCATGGGTCTCCCACTGTGTATTTTTAATTGTATCTAAAGTAGGATCCCTCCACTATAAATGGGTTGGTTATTATTTCTGTAAAGATCAAATTTTGCATACAGTGTAACTCAGAACACATATACTCTCATACTGAAGAATTATCCTCTTTTAGCTTCACAGATTGACTCATCTTGCTCAATCCTTAAATCATCCTCCTTTCAACCTTGCTCATTTTTTACTCTTTACATTCAATATTCGATATTTTTATTCACTTTTACGATTTGTATCAAGTTATCTAACATATCCTTAGAACTACATACAAATTCAACTCTATCTGTTTTTCGGGTAAACAGTTTGAAGCCCACCGTGGGGCTAAGGATAATAGTGATTATTTGATACGAATCTACAAAAACACACCATTTTTACGCTTATTTTCTGAGGTGCCTTTAATTTTGGATTGGCAACGACGAACTCTCAAATTAAATGGCATTACCTATCGACAACGAAGCTTGCCTTCAAGGTGAGTACAACAACTTGACGCCCAGGGCCGGAATGCCGCTTGTCGACGCCGTTGGAGCTCGAGTCGAAGTGCCATTAGACGTTAATTCGCATGTGGCCATTGAGGCAAACCTACATTTTTGAACCTGAAAACAACATTCATGGTGACACTCGATCTACAGCTCGAGATACCCATAACGTCGAGGAAAATGGTGTCAGCTTACGCATGATTTTCAAAATGTTGCAAGCTCAACAGACAGCAATAGCTCAGTTACAGAGTCAAACCCAGATACCGAGCAGGTCGGAGCCCATTCCACCCCGAGAAATCGCCCACAGAACGGAACCATCTATAGTAAGGTCAAATGAGCAAGAGTCTGGAACTAATCCCGAAATTGCTAAGATGTTCGAAGAACTGACCAATAGAATAGAATCAGGTGAAAGGAGGATCGAGGCAAACGACAAAAAGGTAAAAACATATAACTCCAGGGTTAATCAGATCCCGGGGGCACCACCGATATTAAAGGGCTTAGATTCCAAAAAAAACCGTACAAAAGCCTTTCCCCCTGAGCGCTGCTCCTAAACCAATCCCAAAGAAATTCCGAATGCCCGAGATTCCTAAATATAACGGAACTACCGATCCCAACGAACATGCCACCTCTTACACATGTGCAATCAAAGGGAACGACCTAGAGGACGATGAAATTGAATCTATATTATTGAAGAAATTCGGTGAAACCTTGTTAAAAGGAGAAATGACATGGTATCACAATTTACCATCTAATTCTGTCGATTCTTTTGCTATGCTTGAAGATTCCTTCGTAAAAGCACATGCCAGGGCCATAAAAGTCGAGACCAGGAAGTCAGACCTGTTCAAGGTAAGACAAAAGGATAACGAGATGCTAAGGGAGTTCGTATCTCATTTTCAAATGGAACGAATGGATCTGCCACCAGTCACAGACAATTAGGTTGTTCAGGCTTTCACTCAAGGTTTGAACGAACGAAGTTCAATGACTTCACGGCGGTTGAAGCATAACCTGATCGAGTATCCAGCTATTACTTAGGCCGACGTGCATAATCAGTACCAATCAAAAATTAGAGTCGAAGATGATCAGTTAGGGTCTGAACCCGTTGCTAGAAGGGATATCAATCAAGAATAGGGTCCGATTAGGGACCGATACCGACCATATAGTGGAAACCACATAATCAATTAATCGAGACGTAACCCCGAACAAGGCAACAAAAGAAGTGATCGAGGTCAAGGGTCTCAGAGGCTGATGAATAGAAATGGGTTCGACAGGCCTACCGGACCTAATGAAGCACCACGATTATCGGAGTATAACTTCAGCATTGATGCATCAGCCATCGTGTCGGCTATCGGACGCATCAAAGATACTAAATGGCCTCGACCCATGCAGACCGATCCTGCCCAGAGGAATCCCAATCAAATGTGCAAATATCATGGCACCCATGGCCACATAACGGAATATTGCAGGCAACTAAGAGAGGAGGTAGCCCGGTTATTCAATAAAGGGCACATTCGAGGATTTTTAAGCGACAGGGCCAAAAATTATTTCAAAAATAGGGATTTCGGCAAACAAAACGAACAGGAAGAACCACAGCACGTCATCCACATAATCATCGGTGGCGTCGATACCCCTCAAGGGTCGGTGCTTAAATACACTAAGACATCAGGTATGAGAGAAAAACGACTTCGAACTCAGGATTACGCACCCATAGGAACCTTGTCCTTTAATGATGAAGATGCAGAAGGAGTCATGCAACCTCATAACGATGCACTGGTAATATCCGTACTTATGAATAAAAGTAAAGTTAAGCGTGTGTTAATTGATCCGGGTAGCTCGGACAACATCATTAGATCGAAGGTTATAGAACAGCTCGGTCTACAAGACCAGGTCGTACCCGCAACCCTGGTTCTAAACGGATTCAATATGGCATGTGAAAACACCAAAGGCGAGATAATTCTGTCGATAAACGTGGCCGAGACCATTCAGGAAATGAGGTTCCACGTAATCGAAGGAGACATGAGGTACAACGCCCTTTTTGGAAGGCCATGGATCCACAACATGAGAGTTGTACCTTCGACCCTGCACCAGGTTCTCAAATTCCCAACATCGAAGGGAGTCAAAACAGTATACGGAGAATAACCGGCCGTGAGAGAAATATTTGTCGTCGAAGAAGCAATTCTGATATCCTCACCTTCATCAATAAAGGGGTCGGACTCAAAAGGGGAACGAGATGCCAAATAGCAATCATAGACGTCAGCTTCAACCCAACCAGAAAATCAGAAGATCGATAAAGATGATGATCAAAGGATCCCTCGATCCTTCGTGGTTCCCGATGATTATGACGCTACCCAATCAACGATTGAAGAATTGGAGCAATTCATACTAATCGAGCATTTTCCCAAACGAAAGGTATACTTGGGAACGGGATTAACCCTCGAACTCAGGAAAAGGCTTATTCAATTTCTTATCGATAACATAGATTGTTTTGCTTGGTCCCATTTATATATAACAGGGATCCCATCGGATATAATGACGCATCGGCTAAGCCTGGACCCTAGGTTCAAACCGATGAAGTAAAAGAGAAGACCCCAATCCGATGTAAAGCACGCATTTATAAAGGACGAGGTAACTAAACTTCTTAAAATAGGGTCCATTCGGGAGGTGAAATATCCCGAATGGTTAGCCAATATAGTTGTAGTCCCTAAAAAAGGGAACAAACTTAGAATGTGTGTAGATTATAAGGATTTAAACAAGGCATGGCCCAAAAATTCTTTTCCGCTGCCCAACATCGATCACATGATCGATGCCACGACCAGCCACGAGATCCTTACTTTTCTCGATGCCTATTCCGGGTATAATCAAATCCAAATGAACTTGGAAGACCAGGAAAAGACTTCATTTGTCACCAAGTATGGAACATATTGTTATAATGTAATGCCCTTCGGGCTAAAAAATGCAGGAGCTACTTACCAACACCTAGTAAATAAAATATCCGAGGAACAAATAGGTAAATCAATGGAAGTTTATATTGATGACATGCTAGTTAAGTCCCTGCGCGCAGGGGACCATTTGGCTCATTTGCAAGAAACATTTGAGTTTTTAAGGAAATACAACATGAAACTCAACCCCGATAAATGTGCTTTCGGGGTCGGTTCAGGCAAGTTCCTCGACTTCATGGTATCAAATCGGGGGATCGAGATCAACCCCGATAAAATCAAGGCCATCAAAGACATCTCCATCGTGGACGGTGTAAAAGTCGTGCAGAGGCTAACGAGACGGATTGCGGCCTTAGGCCGATTCATTTCAAGGTCGTCAGATCGAAGTCACAGATTTTTCTCTTTACTCAAAAGGAAGAACGATTTCGCTTGGACCCCGGAATGCCAACAGGCATTAGAGGAATTGAAGCGATATCTATCGAGCCCACCACTACGTCATACTCCAAAAAAAGACGAAAAGCTTTGCTTGTACTTGGCAGTATCGGAAATTGCGGTAAGTGGTGTCCAAGTTCGAGAAGAGCAAGGTACGCAATTTCCCGTTTATTATATAAGTCGAACCTTAGGAGAAGCAGAAACTAGATATCCACACTTAGAGAAATTGGCACTTGCACTGATAAGCGCCTCTAGAAAGTTAAGACCATACTTTCAATGTCACCCCATATGCGTATTAACCACTTACCCACTTCGTAATATTTTGCACAAGCCCGAACTATCAGGCTGATTGGTCAAATGGGCCGTCGAACTCAGTGGGTACGATATCGAATATCAACCCCGTACGGCCATCAAGTCTCAAATTTTAGCGGACGTCGTGGCCGATTTCACGCCAACCCTCGTACCCGAAGTGGAAAAGGAACTCTTGTTGAAATCAAGTATATCATTGGGGGTATGGATCCTTTTCACAGACGGGGCTTCGAACGTGAAGGGGTCCGGGCTAGGCATTGTTCTAAAGTCGCCTACGGGTAGCACTATTAGGCAATCTATCAAAACTACTAGGTTGACTAACAACGAGGCCGAGTATGAGGCCATG